TACATATATATATATGTATACATAAAATTAATAAACTACAATTAATATGCGTAGCTGTACTTTCTTTAGCGTGTAAACGATTAGCATTGTAAGTGTAAGCGATAATAAATGGAAACACAAAAAAATGCAACTTAAAAATATATATATATAAAGAAAACAAACAAAATTAATAAAAAACGAAAACACAAACAAAAAACAAAAACAAAACAACAGCAACAAAATACATCATTGGAAAAAAGAAAACTCTTTAAAGAACATTTTTGGTTTGTTGATTTCTTTTTGTTGTTTGCATTGGATTTTCATTTAATAAACAATTCTTTCCTTTTCAGTTTATATCATAGAAATATATAATTAAATACGAAAAATGTACGCAAACGACGGCATTTGTGACAAAAAAAGCTTTACACACCGAAATCAACCCCGACTTCCGCTATATAGAAACTTAATGTCTCTTTGGCCCATATTACATGCATACATAGATATTCACTCAGTCACACACACACATAAATACATACAGTTCTTGCATTTGCAGCTGGCTCTGCGTGTTAAATGTGAAGCTTTATTTGCACACTCATACAAACATACACATGAGTCAGGTACTTATGTATGTATGTTATACATGCATGTACATATACATGCAGTTGCAGCTTTTGACTTGGATACGCGAAAAGTGTGAATAAACATGCACACACATACATTCATCTATAGCATATTGAGTGTACAGCTGCACCTACACACACACACGCATGCATATTGTCTATGAGTATGCTGTATGAGAGATAATACAGTCACATACATTTGCAGCTAGTTTGTATGATTATACATCCTTAATATAGAGCTAGTATGTATGTATGTATGTACCACACAAACACATATGAACATCCATACTCACATACATCCATACACACATTACATATATCTATGCATACATCCATACATACATGCATACATACCTTCATCAATTTACAGCGAGTATGTACAAGTATACGTAATGAAACATGAAAATACTGAATACAAACACACAAACAGCCTGCATACATACAAAGCCAGCTACTTACAAATGTAACACATCCACTCAAATATATATATCTATATACATATGTCATATATGTATGGCCATGCATGTTTTGTATAATATACCAAAAACTAAACTACATACAAACAATCTATAACAATGAACGTTTTTAAGACTTAAATACTCAATACACACACACACACACACAACAAATATATATATATAAATATACAGAATATCCATGAAAGGTTATCTTTTTGGATTTCTCGGCTCTAATTCTTCTCCATAAAAATAAATAAAAATGTGATGTTAAAAACTTTATGATTTGAAATTTGCAACTTAAAATACGGGTAAAAAAAAGCAAAGCAAAAATTAAAAAAAAAAAAAACAAACAAGAAATATAGGGAAAAATAATGGTATTTGAATATACATACAAACCTACACGTACATACTCACATATACTTACGGACACTCACACAAACAGACTGTTTAAATATTGTTTAAAAAAATAAAATATATAAAAAATTAATNCATCCACTCAAATATATATATCTATATACATATGTCATATATGTATGGCCATGCATGTTTTGTATAATATACCAAAAACTAAACTACATACAAACAATCTATAACAATGAACGTTTTTAAGACTTAAATACTCAATACACACACACACACACACAACAAATATATATATATAAATATACAGAATATCCATGAAAGGTTATCTTTTTGGATTTCTCGGCTCTAATTCTTCTCCATAAAAATAAATAAAAATGTGATGTTAAAAACTTTATGATTTGAAATTTGCAACTTAAAATACGGGTAAAAAAAAGCAAAGCAAAAATTAAAAAAAAAAAAAACAAACAAGAAATATAGGGAAAAATAATGGTATTTGAATATACATACAAACCTACACGTACATACTCACATATACTTACGGACACTCACACAAACAGACTGTTTAAATATTGTTTAAAAAAATAAAATATATAAAAAATTAATAATAAATAAATAAACAAACGATAAACATAAAATATAGATTTGAACTCTCGTTGTTGCATGTTTTTTTTAAACAAATTTTCTTTCGGTTCTTTTCAGCATCCAAGAAATCAGTATAATCGATCTTAGAGAACATATAGCTTTGATCGGATCCACAAGGGATCTTTTCCAGATTTGATTGATTTGATTTAATCGTTTCCAAGTTTTCACTAGTTGCTCACATACTCAAGTTGTATTTGTATATATGTATATGTATGTATGAGTGTAATGGAAATGATATAAATATTTTTTATATGTACTTAAAACGTTTTTAAGATTCTTCTTTTGCATGGGAAAAATATATATATGAAAATCAAGTAAACAGAAAACCATTTAAGTATAGCTTAAATAAATAAAAAATATATTAAACTAACGAAAACTTAATTTTAATAATTATTTACAGCGAAAAAGAAAACAACATGAATAGAAACTACACAGAGAGTAAAATGCATACACACACACACATACTGACACTCTGGCACACACACACACGTACTCTGACACCCACAAATCAGAAAAATTATATTACACACGCACACATTCAAACACATACCCAGCTCCACATACAAACGTACTCTCACACATTCACACACACAGCCATTATAAAATGTTGCAAATTGTTGTCCGAATCTCAGTTCGAAATTCCGTATATACCCTCCACTCATCCACATACACTCACCCATTCAAGCACTCTCACTCAGAAATAAAGCAAAAATGGATAAAACTCTCTGGAAATTAGAGAGCCGTATGTAAAATTACCAAACGAGTATTAATAGCTTAAATATGCATAGAGTCCTGTATAAAATTCCAACTATACTAAAAAACGGTAATCCATTACGAATATCTGTATATGTATGTGTGCAATCGCTGATTGGCTTTCGAGTTCGGTAAAGCGATTGTTTTCTAGAAGTATATATATATCTATGAATAGTTATTTGTTAGTAAATCAAATAAGAAAACTGGAAACGCTTGTTGTGGTAATTAAAAAAAAAAAAAAAAAAACAAAAACAAAAACAAAAACATACAAAAAAAAATAAAAAATTAAAAAAAAATAAATTAAACGAAAAA